ACAGTGAAGCGGTATTATCCAAATGACCAGTGTATAATGTTACAAAATCGGCCATGGGTAGAAGATCCATTCAAAGTGTAAAACAGAGCAATGGAGTTTAATGTAACAGGGTAGGGCTAGTTGATCCATATGATTTCAGACTGCATACTGCAACTAACCTTTAAGAAACTATCACTTACGGAGTTTTGATAAGTATCAAAGAATATCCACAATTATCTGAAAATGCTATTAAAATATTCCTCCCTTTTCCAAGCCAAGGCTGGATTTTCATCATATACTTCATTAAAATAACTTACTGTAACGGAATGAACTCAAAAGCAGATATGAGAATCCAGCTGCTTTTTAAATCAGACCTTAAAAGACACTTGCAAAACCATAAAACACTCTTACCAAAATCCCAGTTGCTTTTTTGGCAGAAACTGGCACTCTAGTTCTAAAAGTCGTGTAGAAATGCAAGGGACTCAAAATAACCAAAACAATCTTGAAAAAGAATAAAATTAGAGGACTCACTATTTCAAAACTGACTACAAAATTACAGTAATCAAGATTGTGTGGTACTGGCGTAAGGACAGACATATAGAGTAATGGAATGAGAGAGTCCTGAAACAAACTGTTAAAATATGGTCGCTTAATTTTCAACAAGGGAATTCCATGAAGAGTGTCTTTTAACAAAAAAGGCTGGGACAACTTGATATCCACATGCAAAGGAATGAAGTTGTACCCCTCCCTCACACCATATACAAATATTAACTACAAATAGATCACAGACCTACTGCATGAACTTAAAGTATAAGACATCTAGTAGAAAACATAGTAGTAATCTATATGACCTTGGATTAGGCAATGGTTTACTTAGATGCGACACTAAAAGCACAAGTGACAAAAAAGATATATCGGACTTCAAAATTAAAAACTTTTGCTTCAAGTGGAAAGACAAACCACAGATGGGAGAAATTATTTACAAATCATATCTGATACCACTTTGCACCCACTAGGATGGCTAAAACCAAAAATAACAGACAATAACAAGTGCTGGTCAGGATGCGGAGAAATTTAAACCTTCTTTCATTGTTGAGGAGAATATAAAATGGTACAGCTGCTTTGCAAAACAGTTTTACAGTTCCTCAAAACGTTAAACATAGTTACCCCACGACCCAGTAATTCCACTCCTAGGAATACACCCAAGAGAAATGAAAACCTACATATACACAAAAGCTTGTACAGGAATGTTCAAAACAGTATTATTCATAATAGCTTAAAAGTTGAAACAATCCGCATACCCAACTGACAAATGCATAGGAAAAAAGTGGTATTCTCATATAATGGAATACTATTAAGCAATTAACAGGAATGAAGTACTGATACATGCTATGACATGGATGAAACTTGAAAACTTTACACTAAGTGAAAGATGCCAGTCACAAAAGACCACATATAATCATCACATTTATATGAAATGTCCAGAATAAGTTAATTCATAGAAACAGAAAGTCAATTAGTGGTTGCCAGGGGCTACAGGGAAGCGAGGATGAGCAGTGATTGCTAAGGAGCACAGCGTTTCTTTTTGGATTGATGAAGATTAAGTATAGATAGCTATAACACAACACACATGGACATCAACATTTGGCACCAGAAAATTAAAATCACAAATTCACGTTCTGATTACACTCTTATACAGAACAACGAATAAGACGGAATAACAGTAATTTCAAGCTTCAATACAAAGTAGCCACTCCAGGACTACACCCACCCACAATCACACAACATCAGAATGTTATTAAGCACCTGAATATGCAATTTTACATTCTGGTAGATTTTACACGGGGCAAATAACGTTTTTACCTTTCAATTTTTAATGAAATTTGTCAAAAAGGATGGGATAACTTAAAAATAGATTGTTAAAGTCAGAATACAATGTGTGTTCTACTAGGAACAACAAAATATTCAATGACATCTGTCCCTATGAGGTATCCAAATACTACTTAAAACATCTTGACGAGATAATTTGAGTACTTTTGCTGAACTGCCTTTTACAAAACCACAAAGTTGTTTTATTTTCTCTGTTACAAGCTTTCACATGCCTGTGATCCCATTCCTCTTGTTAACCATACACAAGAGACTCAAATATGACAAACACCTTTTGATTATGGTCTAAAGGTAAACTAGACCACCAAAGCTCTCAGTGTAAGATTCCAGTGAAAGAAGTACCAGACTGAAGATAGTTCACCTGACACTCTACAACTTTCACTTTAGTTTCTTCTACCGTCGGGCTACTCTGCTGTATTAGAAAGAATAGAACGTAAGGGAGCTGGTATATGTGGCAACCACCAAAACAATTAATACAAAGCACTCCCTGAAAGCCAGACTGAGTTATAGGTGACGTGTCCTTAAAAGCTTTAACACTGCAAATAACAGGAAAAGTACTTCAGGGGGAAAAAGGGTTGTATAAACCATCTGAGAATTATTTTTTCCATACTTTTAGTTCACTCAGTATTTAAAAAAAAAAAAATACAAAATTTGAAAGCAATCATAGCATTTTGTAGTTTTATCTGAAGACAAACTTTTAAAATAAAACTTGTGATATGACAAAGTCACGACAAGTATTCTACTAGTCAAACTGGCCTAAGATATTTAATCACGAAAACATTCTAAGATGTGAAGCCTTTTGCTATGGCTCTTTACTCAGTCAATAGAACAAAACAACTTACCATCACAAAACGGCACAACCTAGAAACACATGTATTCAAATTTCTCTGGTATAGCACCCATTTGCAAGCCAGCATGTCAGTAAGCTTCTACAGTCTGAATACTGAGTAATTTGCAGAAGAGTGGCTACTACATGGAATCATGCTGACAAAAAACTAACCCCTACCCCCTAAAAAAGAACCCACAAACTACAAAATATCCTAGCTCATAATAATAGTAAACAACTTTAAAATTAAATGCAAGACTGGGAGCAACTTAACCACTCCAAAATCTTTTAAAATAGTTATTCCGCATGCCACCAAAAACGAAGTTAGCACAGTGTTTAACAAACAGCAATTTAAAATAAATGTCTGTGAACAGAAGGCTAAAGGGTGGCCTGTCACATCTCAGTCTTCAGGAGGACGCTGGTTAGAAGACAAAACAGAATGGATTTCAACTGGACATAAGGAATTTCTTTTTAGCAAAACACTGATAAAACACTAGACCTGCTCACTAAAGACCAGAACCACCATTTCAAAATTAATAAGTCAGGATCTTTGGGTCAGTCTTGGGATGAAATCAGGTAGCCCAGGTACTTCTCACGATCTTCAATTAGTAGGCACTAGGTGCCTGATCAGCTAGAACTCACTCAAGAGCCAGGATATGTCATGGTTCCATCCTCCAAAGTCCAGAGAAGGAAATAAAGAGAACAGAGGGAAGAAGCAAGAGCATGGTGATTCAAGCTGCCAACAAAGGCTGGATCCCGGGTTCCATACTGACATCTGGCAAGTGGAGTGACTTTAAAAGGCTCAATTTTTGATGCATGGTTACTTTATGGCCACAGCTGTTAAGACTGTCACCTATCTACCCCCTCTGATTCGGCACTGCATCACACAAGAGCTACCCCTGTGACTCTTGACACCCCGTATCTCTACAGAAGCTTCTTTGAGCCCTTGATCACTTCCTTCATGATGTCCCCCAGCACTTGACGGAGAGAGATGGTAAAAGGATGAGTAAGCACACTGTAGCTGATCTTGGTCAAAGAGCACAAACCCTGGCACCGGCGGTGGAAAGTGAGGGTGAGGAAGCAGAACAGCAAGCGCAGCTGGGGACTTCACCCAATGAGCGGCAGGAGTTACAAGCTTTCCTATGGCAGTCATTGCTGCCTCCTTCCGCAATCACAGGAGACTTCAAAGCCTCGCTTTCACCTCCCACCCCTACACTGTGGTCGAATGCACATTTTCTTTGAACAGTTACTTAAAAACAACAAGAAAAGATGAACTAATTTCTCCAGGCTTCCAGTTGACAAAGACAATAAAGCCTCACCATGAAGTACGGTTAAGTTCATCCTTCTGTTTTTTCAAAGGCTAGAACACTACTCGTTTTCTGACACCCTGTCCACCTCCCACCCCACCCCAGGCCACCTCTATTCGGCAATAAGGCCAGGAACAGTTTCAAATGTATTGTCAACCTTGTGGGGGTGGGGGTGCGGGAAGAAAACAAAAAGACAGTTGAATTACTTCAACAGCCTGGTTCCAAGTACCTGACCTTATTTTTTCCCGAAGAAAATAGGACACTGAGAGATCAGAAATTTCTTTTTCTCTCTCTTCCTATTTTGGCCACCGGCTGTATCTAAAGGGTCTCCAAAGAGGTCTCTTTTGGGGGCTTTTCTATGTTGCTTAGATAAGAAACTTGCCCTTAGTAGCCAAACGTCCTTTAAGTCCCTAGTTTTCTTTACAAGGTTGAACTTCACTACAGATGGAAAGAACCCAAGGTACTGTTTCCTTTGTTAAAATCCCACGGACTTTATTCAATTTGGGGCGGGGGTGAGGGAAGACTGCTAGAGCTTGCAGGGAAAAGGTTGAGAGGGACAGGTGTGACTCCTTCCTTGTGGAAGTGCCTTACAGCACAGTCGCGGCAGAGTGGGAAATTATTCCCACCACCGCCTTACTTGCCCCAGACACACCTGGGACTCCTCGGCACTCGGGGGCCCTCACATCCCCCGCGTCCAGCGTCTTCCGCGCCCGCAGTCTCCCCCACGCCCACCCACGCCCGCCGGCCCCAGCCGCCACCTGTCCGTCCGGGCCGGGGGAGGGCGCCCGGCTTCCGCACCTCCTCGCCGGGCGGCAACGCCGCCCCGACCGCCGCCACCTCTGCTCAAAATGGTGGTTACGAAACGCGCGGCCCCCGCCCGCCCAGCCTCCCGCCACATGGCCGCGCCGGTTCCAAACTTCGCAGGCCCGGCCGCCACACGGCGCCCAGCCTAGGCCCTGGCCCGTGGGCGCGAGAAGGCCGCGCGGCCGCCGGCCACTCACCCACAGACCGGTAGCCCAGGATCGCGATCTTCCGGGACTTGGACTGCGGCATCTTGGCGGCCTCCTCAGCCCCGGCCCAACCACATCAACCGCGGCGGCGGCGGCTCCTGCTGCTGCGATCCGCGGCGGCCGCGCCGGGGCACAGCGACATACAGAGAGGGGCGGCGGCGGGCGCGGCTGCCTCTCGCTGGCTCGCGCGCTCCCAACCGCCCGGAACCGACCGCGCGACGGCGCCCCTCCCCCCACAACACGCCCACGTGACCGCCCCGCCGCGACCGGCCCCCCGGCCCACGTCACGCCGCCCCTCCCCCTGCCGCGGCCGGCCGCCTCCGCCCCCCGAAGTGCGTTGGGGGATGCGTTGGGGCGACGTTTTACTTTAAAGGGAAAAAAAGAGGACGCCGAGAAGCCCCCGGAAAAGTCACGACTAAAACTCGCTGCGTCATGACCCTCCCACCTTCTTCCGCCGCTTTTTAATTACGCCACTTCTCTCCGAGCGTTGATTGGAGAGCTTCCGCCCATCCATGCGCTGACGCGACGGAAACTCCGTCTCCCATTGGGGGTGGCGAAAAAGCGGGGTGGGGCGGCGGGGCTGCTGGCGCGGGAGCTAAAAATACACCACAGCAGCTACCTCGCGGTTGGGCGCCGGCGAGGTTTGAAGACTTTAAACTTCCAACGGGTGGGGGGCGGGCGGGAGAGGCGGAGCGAGAGAAGGTGGCTCCCCAGTGATTGGCCAGGGCGGGACGCAGGGCGGGGCAAGTGGTGGGAGGTGCAGTGATTGGCGGGACGCTAAGCGGTTGGCTGCCTCGCGCCCGCTGAGCCCCGAAAGGCGCGGGGCGCGTGGCCGTGGCGGGCTGGCTGCCCCGGCGCTGTGGGATTTTCTCATTTCCATCTTGCTATGTTAGCGTTAGTCAGTTTGGATTTGAGGATGTAGGTGGTGAGTAAGCGTCATCCGTGGCTGAAGGACTGTGGGAAGAATGGAATCTGCGTTAATGCGAAATGTTAGGAATTTCATTAAAAACAGCGCGAGCCTCGTGGGTTCTGGTGTGAACCCCGTGACGTGCGGGCTCGGCGCACCCCCCAGGAAACAGGCGCCTGTGCGGAGGCCGGGGTGTGAGCCCGCATGTCCTTTTAACGTGTGCGGTTGATTCAGGAGGAGGCGGCATGAGACGGCGGCCGGCCTGGGTGGGCGCTCCCGGCAGGCGTGAAAGGCGGGAGGCTGCCGTCCGCTGCCCGCCCCCCGCCCCGCCTCGTGTGGGCATGATTCTCCAGGGGTGCCAGCCAGAGAGGGGCGGGCTCACGTTGGAGTGCAGGAAGGGAAGCCAGGCCCGAGGAAATGCAGATGCCATTGACAGACTAACCAGCCAGGGAAGACTCGTCCATCGTGGTAGACATTGTTGAACTTGGTGCTTGCTAACTAAGCAGATACCCTGTTATTCCTATGACTCTGCCCTTGTTCTCCTTGGGCTGTTAGGCAGTGTGCATCTGCAGAGGCCTGAGTGGGACCCCACTTGCTGGGCAGTGCCCTTTGCCCTTCCCAGTGACCGTCAGAGAGGAAAGACCCCTGGGAAGCTGAGTGCAGGCCTTGGCTTCCCAGGTATGAAGGTCTAGAGGTGACTGTTCTGTAGATACGCCTTGCTGAATTGGAACACTGAGCCAAGGGCAGCCTCCCTCCAGTTTTCCCACTTTCCTAGGAGAGGGAGAATGTGCGTTTGTATCCTCGGGGGTCCACAGATTGAAGCCCCAGGCAGCCAGCTGGAAGTGATAAATATCTTTGAAGTTCTGTTTTATTTTAAGGAAATTTTGCATTCTACTTTATAATTTGTTTAAATATTTTTAAAACTAAAGGTCTTAAAATGCACTCTTCATAAAAATGTATCATGTTTATCTCGTGGATTTGGACACCCCCTACCACAGTATTTCTGGGCGGATAGTACTAAACTCCTTGGTAGATTATAAAATCAATTTAGTGGATTTTTTGATTTGTCTTTTTAGTATAAGAACAGAATAGAAAATAGCATGTTATACACAGTAAGAGTAATTATGTGTATGTGTATATATATTTATTTACAGATATGCTATATTTGTATTGTGTACTGGGATCCATTGTAAAATATGTTTCTTACTGTGAGTTGCCTCAAAAAGTTTGAAAGCATTGCCTTAGCCTGAGAATGTCAGTAATCCAGATTGAGAAGCACAGTTGTAAAGGATAACCTCATTCAAGAAATCTTCCAGTTGCTTCCTAAAGCCTTTGCAGGTCAGACCCAAGAGTTGAAAAGATTCCTTTATTTCTGAGTGGGGAGAATTTTTCTGGTTTAAGAAATGACTCAAATTACCTAAAATATTAGGAACTGATTGTATGAATTCACATAGAAATATCTGACTGCAACCAGACAGGAACGTGGTTGGAGGAAATGGACTTGCTTTTGTATCAAACGTAGCTCTTGTGACTGGGATAACTCCTTTACTAACCTTTTACTTTTCAGCAGCTAGAACATCTGCTCCCACCAGTCAACTTGTCCTCAGCAGGTTCTGCTTGTTAAATTCCCAGAGATAATATACAAAACTTTTTTTTTTCCTACCACTGAATCTGACTGAGTAAAAACCACTGCGGTGCTTCTTTTTATCAAAAGGACATTTGTGAAATTATTTTACATGGGAAAGGGTGACCCCAGGGAAAATAGACATTAAGGAGTGTGTTATTGTTTTGTTTTTAAAATATTTGATGAAGGAAGACTGGAGAAGAACAAGACTCATGTTAATCTTAGCATAAGCCAAATTAGACGTCTCACATAGGTATTATTCAAAATCAAACAATGCAGATTTGGGGAAACATGCTAAGGTTAGTCCAGTATGTATTCATCTTGTTGAAGTCAAAGGCACAGATCCTCCTCCTGTGGGTGGGAGAGGGGTTTCCTCCGCAGGGAATTGATGGCCCTGCCCTCAGCATTTTAGAGTGAGAGCCATCCTAGGGAAGGTGAGTCCCCTGACTTTTCACTGCGGGGAGAGAAAACCCTACCATCTCTGAAATGGGATCAGTCTGGTGTGAACCCTGAGGTCTGGAGCACTCTTAGAAGAAGGAAGGCGAGTGAGCAGCCCTAAGTCCATGAAGGGGGCCATGTGAGATGAGTCGGCTCAGCAAGGAACTCTGAGAACGGATCTAGGGCCATGCAGTAGTTTAAATTGTTCTCAACTCGTGTGGGTTGAATTGTGTTTCTCCCCACCCCTCAAAGGATACATTGAAGTCCTGCCCCTCTCAGAATGTGACCTTATTTAGAAATAGAGCCATTGCAGATGTGGTTAGTTAAGGTGAGATCACACTGTAGTAGGGTGGGCCCTAATCGAGTATGACTGGTGTCCTTATAAGAAGAGACGCAGACAAAGAAGAAGGATGGCCAATATGAAGACCAACGCAGAGACTGGGGTGAAGCTGCCATAAGCCAAGGAACTCCCAGGGCTACCAGAGGCTGGAGAAGGCAAGGAAGGATTCTCTTATAGAGCCTTCAGAGGGGGCATGGCTCTACCAACACCTTAACTTTAGACTTTTGGCTTCCATAGCTGTGAGAGAATAAGTTTCTGTTGTTTTAAGCTACTGGGTTTGTGGCACTTTGTTATAGCAGCCACAGGAAACTGATACATCAACTATCCTCATGAATAAATGAAGATAAATGAATAAAGCTTCATTAAAAGTTTGAATCTGGTTTTTGCTGGGCTGAGAATGAAGTTGGCCTCCCCCAACCCCCAGCCCAAATGCCCCTAGTAGGAGCTCCCACCAGCAGAAGGCTGCTGTGCCCAGCAGAGCAATTCTCCTGAGGTTGCTGGTGGCAGTGGCCAGGCAAGACGGCTGGGGCAGAACACATGAGACCTCTGCCTAAGAATCTATGCAAAAGTACCTGGGGGGTGCTGAGGCAGAGCAGGAGGCTAATTCCTTGCAATATAGCGGGTGATGGCTCATGCCAATACAGCTTGGATTACATATGTTCCTCAAATATGCCTTAGATGTGGAATTTAGTCACAGTGTTCATAAGCCACTGAGATATAATTGACATTTGAGGGACATACATATGCACGACTGGTTCCTCCTCCTATGTGAAGAGTTTGTCTCAGTGTTGGATTTTATCCAGCATGTCGGGTTCCAGGAAATTCTGCTGGTGTACAGGAAGAGAAAATAGAGCTATTTTTTTAATTAAAAAAATAAAGTGTAACTAGACTGAGATACTTGCTAATGATATAGTAAGCATCCCTTACAAATAGCAAGATGTTTAAAAACTAAGCATCTAAAACATGAAGACTTTACAAATTTTTCTGCCACTTTTTTTTTTGGAAAATTTCAAACATACATAAAAATAGCAAAATTAGTACAATGAGCCTCAAAACCCATCACCTTCTTCTGTATTTTTGAATCACAGACAATCCTGTTTCATCTTCATCTATACCCTACCTACTTCTCCCACCCATCCATGGGTTGTTTTAAAGTAAATTCCAAACACTATATATTTCATTCATAAATATTTCAGTATTTTCTGAAAGATGACTTAAATATAACATGCCATTTTTATACAGGAAATAAGCAAAACCAATTAAGGAATCCTTAATACTACCCAATATCCGGACTATTCAAATTTCTCCTGACGTTTCATAGTTTTCTTTTACAATTTGTTAAAATCAAGATCCAAATATGAATCATATATTGCAATTGTTTGCTGTGTCTCTTACATCTCTTTGTTATTTTTATTTTAATAAACTTTATTTTTTAGAACACTTTTAGATGTACAGAAAAATTGTGAAGCTAGTACAGAGTTCCTATGTACCCTATACCCAGTTTCTCCCATTGTTAATGCCTTACATTAGTGTGGTATGTTGCTTACAACTAATTAACTAATAGTGACATGTTATTATTAGCTAAAGTTCATACATTATTCACATTTCCTCAGTTTGCCCTTAATGTCCTTTTTCTGTTCTAGGATCCCACCGAGAATATCACGTCACATTTAGTAGTCATGTTCCGTAGGCTCCTCTTGGCTGTGATAGTTTCTCAGATTTTTCTTGCTTTTGATGACTTTGACAATTCTGAGGAGTACTGGTCAGATGTTTTGAAGAATGTTCCTCAGTTGAGATTTGTTTGATGTTCTTCTCAGATTTAGACTGGGAATATGGGTTTTTGGAGTGAAGATCACAAAGGTAAAGTACCATTTTTATCACACCATCTCAAAGGTACCAACTGTCAACACGACTTATTGCAATTGATGTTAACCTTGATCACCTGGCTGAGGTAGTGTTTGTCAGGTTTCTCCCCTGTAAAGTTACTTTTTTCCCCTCCTTTTCCATACTGTACTCTTTGGAAGGAAGTCACTATGCACAGCCCTCACCTAAGGAGTGGGAGTTGTGCTCTATCCCATTTCCCTTACACCTAAAGAATTTCCTTTAGCATTTCTTGTAGTCTCCTGGAAACAAGTTCTCTCAGCATTTATCTGAGAGTGTCTT